TGGACGAAGACATCAAGGTCAAGCTCCTCCTGGATCTTGACGTTCTCCTCAATCTCCTTCTCGATGAACTTGTCGTACTCAGCCTCGGTGATTTCACCCTTGGTGAAGCGGTTACGCTGGAGACGGATCTCCTTGGTCTGAGGGAATGAACCAATAGTGGTGGTAGGGAAGAGGGGAAGGTTGAGCTTCTTCTGCTGGAGAGAAATTCTGGTGGGGAACTCAGACTTGCGCTTGTAGTCAGCGTCGGTGACCTTGGACTGGCGGTCCTTGACCTTGGGGTCGTTGGTGCGGCTGGAAGAGGCACGAGCCTGGAGAGACTTGGCGTTGGCCTCGAGCTGCTCGCGGACGGCAGCAGGGCCCTCAGTGACGGCCTTGGCAATAGTGGCGATCTCAACAGCCTTCTCGGAGGCGAAAGAGAACCAGTCGGCAATCTCAGCGTCGAGCTTCTTCTCGCTAGCGAGAGTGTGGGGGGTGTGGAGGAGAGAGCTGGAGGTGGCGGCGATGACGCGGTCCTTGCCGAGCTTCTGAACAGCAGTCTCAACGGTCTCAATAGCACGCTTGAAGTTGGTCTTCCAGATGTTACGGCCGTCGACAACACCGGCAGAGAGGATGGTGTTGGGGCCCAGGGCGCCAATCACCTCATCGAGCTGCTCGGGGTTGCGGACAAGGTCGACGTGGACAGCGTAGACGTCCTTGGGAAGAACATCCAAGTTGTGGACGATGTCACCAAAGTAGGTGGTGAAGACAAGCTTGGGGATCTTGTCGCCGAGGCTGGCGAGCTTCTCGTAAGCAGGCTTGAAGGCAGCCTTGGACTTGGCAGGGAGGTCAAAGACCAGAGTGGGCTCATCAATCTGGACGGTCTCGGCACCAGCCTCCTTGAGCTTGACAAGGAGCTGCTCATAGACGGGCAGAAGAGCATCGAGCAGGTCAATGGGGTCGACGGTCTGGTCACGGTCGGCCTTTCCGAGGTGGAGGAAGGAGACGGGACCGACGAGGACGGGGCGGGTCTTGATGCCAGCCTCCTTGGCCTCGTTGAAAGCGGCAACAGCCTTGGGCTCGTCAGCGAGCTTGAAGGTCTGGCCGTTCTGGAGAGTGGGCTTGACGTAGTGGTAGTTGGAGTCAAACCACTTGACCATCTCCAAGCTAGGAACGTCAATGCCGTTCTTCTGGTGGCCACGGCCCATGGCGAAGTACTGGTCGACGAGGTCAAGACCATCCTTGGTGTAACGAGGGGGAACGGCCTATAGATGAGGGTCAATTGCTGCGCAATATGAAGCTTGATGAGAGCTCTCAAGCCCAGGGGGTATACGTACACCAAAGTCCTGGATCTGGTTCAGGACGTGGTCGTACAGGGCGAAGTCATTGCTGGGGATGACATCGACACCGGCATCCTGCTGGATCTTCCAGTGAGCAAGACGGAGTCGCTTGGCCTCGGCGAGGAGATCGGCCTGGGAGATCTTGCCGCCCCAGTCTAGAGAAGGAGGTGATGTCAGCATGGCTATCCCCATCTGCTTCATGCAGTGCTCGACGAGCAGCTTGGGGTCGACTCACAAGCTTCGGTAGCCTTCTTCAGGTCACGGTTCACACCCATGCGGGGGAAACCGAGAATGGCTGATTGAACCATGTTGTCGGTTCTTGCTTAGTGTAGCAAGTCTAGAAGAGGTCGTGTGGTCAGCTCCAGCTCTGTGTCTTCTTGGGATGGCGGGGTAGGAGAGAAGCACGAACGTACTGTGGCGGGGTAGAAGAAAGGGAAAAAGGGTGCTGGACGTCCTGCTACTAAAAACAGGAAGACAAACACTCTTTATAGGAAGAAGAGGAATGATACCCAAATTAAAGTCAATTGGGTAGCGAGGGTTTGGGGAGAAAAAAAAAGAAGAGGAGAGAAAAGGTTGGGAGCAGTAGTGGCGGGAGGGGGGAAGAAAAGGGCCCTCGAGCATGAGTGAAGGGTCTGCTAGTGAGAAATGAGAAAAGGCGCACCGAAAGCGGGGGAGGGGCACGCCTCAACACCTCAACCTGACGCACTCGCATGCACTGGCAGCATGCCGCGATTGGCCTGTGCTAGCGGTTTGTGTTGCAGTCAAGCCCGTTGATGCCTGCGCTGCAAATTTCCACTGTGTGCAATTACCACCACGTGCTGAATCCAGTGCAGTGCCAGGCGAGATAACGTATTTCGGCTGCTTTGAGCCAAGCTCTCCTGGAAGCTTCGCCATTCACGCTCTTTGACTCGGGTCCAATCCGCACGGTACCTCGAGGGTACTTGGAGGGGTTCTCCCTGGCCGCCGCCTGGGCACCTGGATCGGAGGTACCCTCGAATCATGTCTACGCGCCCTGGAGTATCACGTCGGCCTACGTCTACCACAAGCCCAAGTATCCTGCCCGTCTTACATTCTACCCGACACGGTAATGAGCATGTTCTTCCCCGTCTACGTAGAACACCTCCTTGCAGAACCCAAGACAGATGACGAACAGCTGATAGCAGCTCTTTTCTCTGCCCGGGTACGCCCCGGCATGTACCAATTGGTAAACTTTGTCCTCGGCCTACATGTACCAGAGCTTTGGCGGTCAGTCGCTGGACATGAAACACAGTGAGCTGGCCACAAACAGGAATTGAAAGCTCTGATCAAGCAGGAAGCGGCTCTCTCGCACACTTTTCGGAGAGTAGCTATGGAAACGAGCTCCATAATTAGATTGGGAACGATCAATGGCCAAGTTAGTAGGCACTCGGGGGACCCATCTGAAGATTGCACCATCTTGGTCCCGGCTTTGACATGGGCTCATCTCACACCGGCACCGGCTCTGGCTCGATTGTTATCGCAATGTTTTTTTTCCTCCCCTAATCCGCAGCCGCTTTCCGTACGAGGACAGGTGTTCTCCGTAAAACACTTGCCGTTAGGTAGTGCGAACAAGCACTGGCTAGTTTTGTTGAGAACAAACTCTTCAAATCATGCCAGCCTCTTCTTTTCCCCAATCCCACACCCCTGTCCAATTTGGCATCCACTTGGCCCCAAGATGCGATATCGCGAGTGCTGTGGAAGACAAGGAATACAACATGCAGAAGCAGCCATTCATTGAATTCAGAGATAAAAAGCGCCCGGTCATATTGTATCTAGCACTACAGAAGCACAAGCGCACCCCGGCCGATAATTGGCGTAGATTTAAGCTTCCAGGTACCTGGCACTGCCATTAGCAGAGCTCTTGAAAATGGTTACTGGTTAGCAAACCGGAGCTGCCTCTGTGTGCTTCCCATGCCTTTGGCTAATTTTAATGGGTTTGAATCAAATTAGGCACTGAGATTATTCAGAAGGGATGGGTCCATTCATAAGAATTCCATCTTGGTCTTTTGTTTCTCAGACCAGACATGGTGGACAGATACCTGATAGGCAACGACTGAAGCAGTAAGTTAAGTTCGTGATAGGTACTAGGTAGATTCATGTAGGCAGAAATGCCAGCTACTCCTATTGCATTTCTGGGAACATTGGCTGCCTTTTGATTCTCACATAGCAGGTGCTTGCCCAGAACCAACGTGCCTAGGTACCTAATACCTAATGTGCCTACTACCTACCTGTACCTGCAAGTAGGTACTCAGTAGAAGGTGTAGCTGACTGTCTGCTGGTCTCATGTCTCTAACCCAAGGTACTTCTTACTTTAAAGACCGGATGTTACACATTCACAAGATAGGAAGCAGCTACCAATATGATTGCTCTTTCTTCAATGGCCCTTCGTTACCTGCAAGCTTCATGGGCCACAACAGGCAGTCCTCCAACCGATCACCTTTCCCAATTCTTCTACAGGAAGATCGAGTCTCTCAAAATACCGAAAAATCCTCCCATAATTGAGATCACCTTTCTTGGAAATGACCACAGTTTTGCTGCTTTTCTGTTCTGCCTGGCCAAACAAAACCTAGAGTCTTCATGGCTGGCTTTTGTTGCTGTCTTCCTCCATCCCGGGGACCAAATTTCCAGCCGCCGCCGGGTCCCATCGAGGACACCATCGAAAGATCATTAGAGCCTCCATGCTCCCGGAATTCTATTCGTCCCCAAAGCGAAATACAGCCTAAACAAACACAACCGCAGATTGTCAATAGCTGCAGTGGTACTCCCATCGCTCTGGGTGTGCCGACCGAGCTTGATCAGCTGGTAGTCGATGATTCCGAGAGTGAATTCAATCAAAACAGGCTTGCCAGAAAGTCAAGTTCTGTTCTCGATGCCATACGCACAAGGTTAATTCGCCAGTCTCCAAGTGAGCGTGAGACCATCCAACGCTCTCGTATCTTTGCTGGTAACAGCGAAAACGAAGTTGCTCGAAGAGCAGAGCTCAGACGACTTAGGCAACAGAGAATCCAGGAAGAACTCGATGGAGCGAGTAACCAGGAACATCAGAGCATCGCATCTTCTCATAGGAACACACCTTGCTTTTCTTCATTGACTAGCCTGACGAATCACGGAGGGCCACGAGACACTATAGAGTTCCTTGTCCTGGACAAGAATATGTCGTCTCCAATTGAGCATTCCACCAAAACAAGTTTCAAGTCTTCAGATACCTTCAACGGAAGGAAGACAGCCCCCCAACAGTCCCCATCGTACGACTCCTTGTTGCCCTCCGCCAATCTCCAGCAGCCCCCCGATAACAACACTCAGACGGGCCAAATTGAGCATCAGAATGATAAGGCCATTCCGCAGGCTCCCTGTTTGCCGAACTCTCCAACTAGCCCACGATCAGAGGTAGCTCCCCCATCTCACCAAATATCAAATCGGGTCGAGCAATCCTCCGAGGACGACCAGTCTGCTCTCAATATGTGGCTGATGGCTCAAAATCTTTCGTTAATCGAGAGTCCCGGCATAAGCACAGATGATTCGGATTGCAAGGGATCCGTCGTGTCAAGACACTCTTCACCCTCCCCGGAGAACCAGAAAGATAGCGTATTGGAGGACCTATCAGCGGACTTATCTATGAGAACCAAAAACATTTCAGACGACAGGACAGCGAAAGAATCTGATAAAATGTCCACGATCTCTGAAATCTCATTGAGAAATACTGAGGGTGCCTCCAATGTTGATATCGATGAGCAGGGGCAAGCCAACTACAAGGATATCCCGGTACTAGAGAAATCAAGCTCCCAAGACCTAGCCGAAAGCTACGCCGCGGCACTCGCATTCAACTCTCAACTAGACAATGGCTCCTCGAATTATAACTCCGTTAGGCCGAGTTTTCAACCAAGTCCCGTTCGTTCTTATCTGAATCTGCATCGCCTTGACCCCCAAGATCTCAATAGCGTCACCTGGATTCCTTTTCGATGTGAGCAGTTCTCAATCTGTAATACTAGCTTGCTTTCTTAGACCTAACGATGCAGGTCACGAGATTGAATCTGATTCCATGGGGTCAATAAATCTAGGCAGATCGAGTTCCTACGCAACAGCAGAAGTTGATTTCAACTCCGACGCAGCAGAAAGACACTCCTTAGTGTCTCGCGAGTTAAGTCAGGATAGTGAAGAGCTTTCTTCGACAAGAATTTCCGAAACAGGGAGTGTTCTGATTCGAGAAACCGGGCTTGCCTCTGTCAAGAAACAGCTTGGAGACACCTTACCCCGAGGTGAACCTCTCGAAAAACTCGACAGTCGGTTCAAAGAACATCTTTCAGATATTGACGCCGCGTGTACAGTCCATATATCTGGTACTCGCCCTAAGAGGAGCGAAGAAGAAAGTGCGCCGAGGAACCACGAAATAACTAGGTGCCACTGATTTATTTCTATTGGAGCGAGTCCGTATAGGCTAATAGTAACTAGGAAGCGGGCTATTGAAGACGGAGTGAAGCAAACTGAAAGATTGAACACCCACGGCATCCCTGAGCTGGAAGAGGCTGTTGCTGCATTATGGAAAGAAGCACGTACAAGTCCACCACATCAGGCAGCTACTTCAATTGATGGGCCCAACCCATGCCAAGCCAAAACCAGTCTCGGGAGAAAGAGAGAATCAAAGAAACGTTACACCATGAGATTGAACTCCCCTGGTCCACACGTCTCTAAACCAGGGCAGCCTGAACTAGGAACAATTGGTAGAACCTCGCTCCCGTCCAGCAGTCAATATGATGCACTCCAGAATTCGGCCCATGATACACCGCCAGATACCAGGGGAGCGGCAGCAATAATTTCAGGGAATCTTGGTTTACCCCCTAAATCATGGTCAAGGTATCCCTCACATACGCGTCACGAGAGAAATGAATTGGAAGAAATAGGGCTCCGTGATTTTGCCCCAGCACTGCCTGATAGACTTGGGCCGAGTTAGAAACTCTGTGAGACACAAGACAACGCATCAGACATGTTGAGTGTCAGATCTCTATCCAGTCCAAGGGCTTTTAGAAAAGCCATGAAAAATGGCTTGCGCAAAATTTTCTCCTTTCGAGCCAGCTTTGCCGGCATAAAGAATGGCATTCTAGAAGACCAACAATATCCAATTCCACGTTTTCGGGAAGCCTGCAGGGAATTGGCTTCTTCAACTTTAATTAAGAAGCGCCAAAAGTCCATAAAGCAGGCTAGCGAGCGAGAGAATGAACAGTATGCTGAGCCCCTAGGCTTGGATGCTGACACAGGCGAAGGCAGACACGACATCAACCAACATGAATCTCAGGAGTCAATGAGCATTCATTCAGCCATCGAAAACCCCGTTAAAAATAACAGTATTCACGGTCATCCGGCCCATCAACCAAACGGCACCCAAAAAGAAATGGAAAACCCGACGGCCCTTCTCATCAAAGCAAGGGCGGCTGAATCTTCTACTCTCACGGAACTCATGACGGCAAAAAGTGAACCGTTTCTGCACTTATCGATGAAAGTTACAGACGAGGGCAATAATGAATGGCCGAAGTCATGCACTTGGCCTAGATCTTGGGAGTCAACAACTTGACGTGGCAACCTCGTTCAATACTGTTGCTCACAACTTAAACCCCAAAGCAATCCATTTCGATCTGGAGCGCAGATTCCGCAGATAATTTGTATATCATGATTAAAGAAACGTTTGTGCATGAGTATTTCTCTTCTTCCACGTCTTTTTGTCAAACGGGATATTAATCACTACTCTTATTCTCAGCACTGTAAATGCTAGTGTAGTCTTTATATAGATATTTCCCCAGAAATTGTCGAAACAGAACCTCAATACAGCTTCCAAGCCATGAATCAATCAATCAATACCAGTAATTTTACCACCGGAGTACTTTAAGGTCCTCCATGAATTATCTGTGGGCGAAGTCAAATTAGTGATCACTCTCTGCATTTTTGGTGCCCTTGTCCTCCTTCCATAGACTTTCCAATCTCTCTCTTTCTCGTTCCGCTCTACGATGAATTTCTTCTCTCCGCTCACGCAAAGCAATACAAAACTTGGATTTTTCCCTAATCACCGGGCCTTTCCAAATGAAGACAAATGGAATGATACACATCCCAGCACTAAGACCGCCTAAAAGGGCACAGGCACCTGAAATACCCAAATCGTCAAACATACGGCTTGTGGCAAGAGGGAGAACAACGGCAAGAAGGGAACGACAACAAGAGGCGGCAGCATTGGCGGAGGCAGCGAAGATATCATAGGCATCAGTGAGATAATTGAGAAGCGCCATGAAGATGAGCATGAAGCCCAGGCCGAAGGGGATGCCAGCAAGCATGGGCACGACAAAGGAGAGGCCGCTACGGGATGTGAATCCTAGCCAGAACAGGGCGACGACGAAGGCCGGCCCTCCTATGAGAGCGAGGGGCAGGCGGCGGGACTCTTCGCGCTTTGTCCAGGACGCACCGGTGGCGGTGGCCTTTGCCAGGTACGTGTCCCAGAACCAGAATATCGGGAGGCTGAGGGTGGCGCCGCCGCCGATTGGGAGGTAGCAGAGGCCGGTCACGCCGGGGGAGAGGCCGTAGAGCCTCGAGAAGATGATGGGGAAGGCCTGGAAGGACATGTAGAAGATGGCATAGACGAGGGCGAGGTAGGCACAGGTTGTGGACACGATGGGCTCGGAGATGAGCATGCGGATGGGGCGGGTGAGGACGACGGTGAAGAGCTGGGAGAGGTCGGTCTCCTCGAGGTCACGGGGGGAGATGGCACGCGAGGTCGGGTCCTCGGCCCTCATCTTCCTGGCGCGGCGGGCGAGCAGGATGGGGCCGTAGGTCTCCGGGAGGAAGAGGACCATGACGAGGGTCGCGGCGGCGAGGAAGACGCCGATCCAGAAGGTCCAGCGCCAGCCGATGGTGGTTGAGCAGAACCCGGAGACGATGGGGGCAAACAATGGCCCGAATACGGTTGTCTGGATGGGGGAGAGTGAGGTTAGCCATCCAGTGTCAGGGGGGGGAAGGGGGGATATGAGGATCGGGACGGGAGTGAGATAGAGAGAGACACAACGTACCACCATGAAGATGGCAAACGCTCTACCACGTGTCCTCGGCTCGCCGTAGACATCCGCGAGGATACCGGCCACGACCGCAATGGGAGCACTTCCAAACATTCCACAGAAGAAGCGGAAGACGAGGAGGGCGGACCAGCTGGGGGAGAAGCCGCAGGCCATGGTGAAGATGCTGAACATGGCGAAGGTGCAGATGCTCAGATACCGACGGCCGACGTGCTCACTGAGGGGACCCCAGACGATGGGTCCCAACACATAGCCGACCAAGTAGATGGATATGGGGAGCACTTTCTGCTCGCTTGATGTTATACCGAATTCCTTGGTGATGAATGGGATGGCCATACTTGGGAGTGCCGAGTTCATGGTCGAGTTGATCACGAGCATCCCGCTGAGGAAGGTAACAGTGTTCTTTTTGAACTAGACTCAGGAGTCAGTATAGATCCCTGGCTAGAGAAGAGCTCTCGATCGTAGGGGTGACACTTGCCATGGGCCAGTTGTAGGGATTCTCAGGATCATCGTACGCCCAGTCTATCAGCGTCTCATTTGTTCTACTGCGAGTCCTGGAACGGATATGATGGAGAGCGCCGATGCCACGATCTGCTGTCTCTTCCTCGAAGCGAGATAGAGACTCAATGTCTTCCAGCTGGTTGATTTGGGCCTGTACCGAGTTGCTGCTGGTTCTCCCCCCTTTGGTCCAAGTCTGTAAGCCCAGGGTGACCACCGGAGAAAAAAGAATTGAGGACGGGGGCATTAGCGCAACTCACTATTTTCCAACGAAGGCTCTTCGACTCTGGTAGTGTCGCTCTTGTAGCTCCCCGCCATCTTGTCGGCAGCTGGAAGAAGGAGTGAGTGTGCAATTAAAATTAGGGGTTGTTTAAAGGGGGAAGAGACTTGGGAGTTTGCACATGTTAGAACAGAGAAATAGATTAATTAAAGAGGCGAAAAACTAAGTACTTGGAACAAAAACAAGAAGCTATCGTCACACATTCGGGAGGGGGGATGTTGGGCAGGAAGAGTTTGGAGGGGGACAGGAAGGGAAGGGAGGTGTTGGTCTGGTCTTGTCTACAGCCCGATTTACGGAGAAGATACCGGCCATGAACAGGGAATAAAACCATCTGCGCCGTGCCCCGTAGGTCGGCGACGTGCCTCCGCCAGACCGTAACTTTTCTGCACCAACACGCTTGTGCTTGATTTCCCCCATGGAACTAGAGGTTAGGTAGGCTATGAGGAGGAAATCGGTTGTGTTCATGTTCGCGCGGTCGACTCCTCCCGCGCCCGGATAACACAGCCATCCTGGCTTTGGTTTTTTCTCGTCTTTAATCATGCCGGGGCACGAATAGCCATCGATAGCGAGCTACTAGTTGAATAGGGAAGGCCAAAAGGGAGGGAAAAGTTGGTGTAGGGGTGCTAGGCCGGGGATAAGAACATAAGGCGTCTCCACCCAACCGATGTCCGTCCTTGGGGCAAGATCAAGCTCGCCTCCCCGAGTCGGAGGATGATCTTACCCGCATCTCCACGACTCAGGACGGCGCCTTTGGTGACGAGCCCACACAAGGTCGGTTGCAACATCGGTCAGCAGCTAACAGCAGTGTGTTTTCTTGGCAGAGCTGTCATGTTGCAACACGACAGAGTAATCTCAAAGATGAGAGGCTGTGGTTTGAGAAGAGCCCACCATATTAGCTTCAGGCGTACAGCACTTGGGTATCACAGCGACAACGGTTCTGATCATTGGGCCAACTTATGGCCATATTCTAGATGGGCCGATATATACTCATTTTAAAATTAAAGTACTAACCGCTGACAGAGTTATTCTCAATGTTACCTTTGCCGTTAATATCATTAAAGGGACATGTGATAGGATGAATGTTAGTGACGCTCTTTCTCATAAGCCTGTATATATGCGATGCGAGAATATACACGATATGCAAGTGTCCACAGACCTGCAATCACATAGAAGAGTATTGGTTGCGGAGCTGTCGCACTTCTAGTTGATCGTTGATAGCTGCCGTATTTTAACTGCCCTCTGATCTATTTCGTTGCGCATAAGGGGCGTATGTGGGTGAAGTTGCGGAGCGAAGGCGACGAGTCGCTCAGACAGAGCAAAATGTGGCGTTGGGGTTGGTTTCAATCATGTCTCAAGATTGATTTGCTTCCCAAATCTTGCATACAGCTGGACCTTCAGCTCCTTCATCTCTTCCCGTACCGACCCAAGCTTTTCCTCCAGTTCGCCCGTCTCCTCCTCGATTCGAGATGTCGTCGTTCCCAGCATCTCCTGGGCCTGCTCTAGGGAGAGATGGAAAAAGGAGTCGCCGATTTTATACCTGGCCGCAGAGGTTAATATACCGGTTTAATGCCCAAAGGAGTTGCGATAGCTACGTACGGGATCTTCTCATCCTCGTCTGCCAGCTCAAGCTCCACTGATAAATCGTCCAGATCTTCCTTTTCTTTCTGTGCGACGGAAAAGATCAGCATATTGCGGTGCCGGGTTCGAGTTGACGAGATTGGGAGTTTCCTCGTACGCTTTTTGTTTCTAGCTCTTCCTGGAAGAGGAGCTCGCGCTGGTGCAGCCTGCTGAACTTGTTGATCTTGTCCTGGTCCTCGCGGCGAACCTCGACCTCCTCACTTCCCTCCTCCTCTGCTTTCGAGAGCTGTGGGGTTGATAGTTAGCATTGAGGGTTCCGCTGGATTAGAAATGTGAATAATTACCATTCGGCGCCCGATAAGTCCTGACATGTTGGGCTAAGCTATCCTCATCGGCGTGTCGAGGCCACGGCAGCATCGCAGCCTGCCTCGAAAATGTCATGGAGGGGTGCTTTGCACCGTGTATTTCGGAAGGTTTGCGCACGGTGAACATTCACTGTGTTTACGCGAGGGTGGCATGTTTTTCTACACTGTGTGAACCCCACCACAGCGGGCAGGTCCAGAGCGGTACGTACCGCCAATGAGTGACATCAATTGCTGTTTGTTGATTGCACCATCGTGATCAGCCTTGTCTTCCACCCACGATCGCAACATGGCCTTGGTCGGGAAGAAGCCTTATCCCAAGGCCACAGTTAAGAAAATCATCAAGGCACATTCGAATCTCAACATCAAGAAGAATGCAGATGTTACGGTCAGTATATGGTGCCGGTTGAGTGTTGACGCGACGGATTTATCGACGCGCCTCTCGCCACATCCAGCGATATCGAACCAAGATAATAACTGTCTTTACAGGTGTATCTAGATTATGTGTTATTCATGGAATCGTAAGTCCATCCAGATATCGTTGGATGCTGTCCACTTTTCAGGTCTGACTTTCATCTGATAGTCTGGTGAGAGAGGCTGCTATCCACTCGAAGCAGTCCGGCGAACGAGCACTCGCAGCCCGGAGCGTGAAAAAGGTCACGCGAGTAAGTTCCTCTTTTTGACAAGCCCGACGCGGAATTTTGAGCATGGCGACTCACACAAGTTCAGGATACCTTGAGCAAATTCAAAGGATGAGCTGCAGCACATCATGTTTATGGGACGTTTGAATGAATAATTTATCAGTTGTTATGGCATCAGTGACATCAATAATTTATGGAGTATTGGAGTGATCCGAGAGTTGTCTTCGTTAGTATAGGGAATACCAAATTCAATCCCCTTCAACCATATAATCTTAATAAGTAGCTAAACTTCTAAGATATTGTCGTAGAAGAAGGTCGAGAACTGCAGGAGAAGATCGTGGAACCCAGTCGCGGTGCGCCTAATGCTAAGGCAGCCCAGCCTCGGATGCTGGAGTGGGCCGGGGAGAGCTGCCCCCCTGCATGCGCTACAGCTACAGTTACGGCCAGGCCTCACCACAGGCTCCTCTCGGCGAGTCAGCTTGACGAGCACTGGCAGAAAAAACGGCCCAACCTCACCTCGCTGCTCATTGTTCACCTCCCAAACGTATCCTCCCTCACTTCTTCCCATAACCACCTTCGCCAGCATAACTGCTACCTCCGCATCCCCAAACTTCTCATCCCAGCCAGCTCTGTCCCAACCAACTAGCTCCCACCTCTCCCTCACCATCCACTCTTGCCAACCCCGCAAGAGCTCTATTTGGCCACAGCCGACGCATTAGCCAAGTAGGCAAAACTTCAACTTCTGTCGTCTCACAGACCACGCCATCGAAATGGCTGCCTCGACTGCCCAGTCTGGTTCGAAACCCAAGAAGACGGCCACCAAGGCCATCGAGAGAACCGAGTCCCCTGCCCCCAGCGCCGTTTCTGGCCAGGCCGAGAAAGGCGACGAGAGCCCCTACATTCGTGAATTGCAGAAGTGAGTGCTCAGCCTTACGGTCAATCCTTACACCTTCATGAGCTAACATTCCCCCGAAAAGGAACATCCGCAGTGTCAACAAAAAAATTGTACGGTTTCGGATTCCCTGTGCTGCTCACCTAAGTTAGTCACACGACACTGACCACGAACAGACCAACGCCTCCAAGGTCGATGTCCTTCTCAAGGAGCACTCTGACAAGTCTCTTGAGGAACTCGTCGATGCCAAGATCATCAATACGGACCAGAAAGCCCAGGTTCTGAAGAAACCTGCACTCCAGACCCAGCTCACTCAGCTCGAGGAGCAACTCAGCCAAATCCTCAAGATCGATGAGCAATACCGAACCAAGGCCGCCGCCGACAAGACCGTCGCCGACCAGTCGCTAGAGAAGGCCAAGGCTGATGCCGTTGCCGAGGCCAAGGAGAGCTTCGACAAGACTCTGCGCGGAAACCTGCTCCTCCTCTCACAATTCCTTCGACTGGCAGCATACCGTCGCGAGGAAGCCACCGACCCCGAATCAGATGAGAGCCAGGCCATAGAGGGTGTTCTGCTTGCTATCTACACGGGAGATGAGAGTGCTGTCAACTCGATGCTGAAGCTGGTCGACGGCTCCTCTGACCAGATATGGAGTGTCCCTGGCGAGCAGCTCCAGACGACTTGTATGTGTCATAGGACCAGCTTGTTGCAGTTTATCCAGCCCTTTTACTAATTGCACCCACAGACGCCAAAGTGAAGAGCCTCGCCCAAGATTACAAGACCCCCAACTACGCTGAGGGTGCCGATGCTCCCGAGACCAACACCGAGGTCACGACAGACCCTACTATTGCCAACGCTGGTGCAACCGAGCTTGACGCCACCGTGCCTGTTGCCGGTGAACAGGAGCAGGCTGTGCAGACCGCTACCAACGGCATTGCTAACATCAATGTGTCGGATGAGGCTGCCAATGCTGTCGCCGAGAGCCACTGGGACACTCCTGCTCAGGCCGCGATCTCACAGGAATGGGTTGACGTGAAGGTTCCTCGTGACCCAGCTGAGACTGACAATGGGCTCACTGCTACCCCAGCTGCGGCTGGCAACAACCAGTCCTGGGCTGATGACCACCCAGAGCCTGCCGCCGAGGTAAGATGAGCAACTATGGAGCGCGATTGAGAAATCACCATCTGACAGGCTGTAAATTAGACCGCACCCGCCAACCCAGTAGAGCCCAACGACGGCTTCCACCAGGTTCAGCGAAACCGCGGACGCAACGAGCGTGAGGGAGGAAACCACCGCGGACGTGGCCGTGGAGAGTGGCGAGGTCGGGGTCGTGGAGATGGCCGCGGACGGGGCCGTGGAAACCGTAATGCGGGAGGGGCCCCGCGAGGTGGTGCCCGCCGACAGGAAGAGTTGTAGGAGACTCTGCCTCAGACAAATTGGATGGGCCAACAATGTTGAACATCCATAATCATATCGTCTAAACGGACGACTGTACACCATGTCATGGCGGCGTTTGCCATCGAAAGCGGCGTCAGCGAACTCGGTTTTTTTGTAACTCTTGTGGCATAGTACGAAGGAGTTGCTGGCATATTTGGCCCGGCTGGGCACTATGATTCGGATATGGGCGATGAGGAAAGGGGGGATTTTGCTTTTTGGGGGAGGCTCGGTCTTTTGATAACCTTCCTTGTGAGGAAAAAATCTCTTTTTGAGGCAGCTGGTATACAGGCGAATCAGGAACTTGGGAAGTGACCGGCACAACGTTTGTTTTCCATGATTTATGCATTGTGCATGTGAAACACTCATATTCTCCGTAACTGTACCCTCACACCACTCACTCCTCGCTGACTACTATACAAGACTACGCGCTTACATTATCATCTATCACTAACTTGAAAAACTCAGGACACGGGCCTTCCTTGGCCAACTCAGCAAGCTCCTGCTCGTCTACAAACCCTTCTTCGGGACCAAGAGCCTTCATCTTAACGGTGTCTTTCAGCCACTTGCCAGTGGCAGACACTGATCTGCCCAACGCTGAACCATGCTTGAAGTTGGTTTCCGTGTCGGGGACTAGCCAGTCCACGCCCACAAACTTGCGATCCAGGGACCCGGTGCTGATATCGAAGACGTCAGACCACCCATCCGGGAGCTTGCCCCCATGGCACCACTCCGCAGCGAGGGCGTAGTGGAAGCAGACCTGGGTGCCGCAGCGGCCGCAGAAGCTGCGCGAGAACGACCTGCCGCAGTCGTGGCTGTGGAAGAAGCGCAGCCAGGTCTTCTCGCTGTCCTGGGGCTGGGTCGCGCGCAGCACGTCCCTGGCGGGGAGGTAGGGGGGCCGGCCGGCGTCCGCGGCCGCGGCGTCGAAGTCGTCCGCCGTGCAGTCGAGGATGCGGCCGGTGACGATGTTGGACGTCTCGGGGCCGGTGCGGGGCAGGACCGAGACACGGATCATGGTCTCTGGGATCTGCATGAGGGTGGCGGGGAGGAGGGTGCCCGAGGCCATGCGGCAGTCGTTGCAGTGGCATGCCAGGGCGTAGGGCATCTTGGTGCCGACGGTCTCTGGGACGAAGGGCGACGGGGGACGGGAGGCGGCGGGGGGGATCTCGACGCGGTAGCGGATGGCGCCGCAGGAGCAGCCGCCGGTTAGGGTGAGGGCTTCATCGGGGAGAGTCATGTTTCTTATGAATTGAAGCCTTGGGGTATTCTGGATTGGTCAAGCGATGGGGGAGAGGACAAATCTGATTGATAGTTTAAGATATCATGTAGCTACGCTTGAGTGTTCTTTTATATTCAGACATCGTTACGGCTGCACTTGGAGTCTTGCGACTCATCATTACAGGTGCGCCTTGGCTTGTTCATTGATGCACGCTGGTACGCGGGGTAGAGGGTCTGACCACCGAAGAATGCGTGTCAGTATATGCATTATAGGGGATGTTGTGAGAAGCTGAACATGCGCCACGAAACTAGTCATTGGCGATATGCCCAATGGTCGTTATGCCAAGCCCCAGTTAGATCGCAATGTGGAGCATGGTGTTGCTCCCAGGAAAAGCTAATTTTTCTTCCCGATGGAGGGCCATGAGAGCTGGTGTCAAGGGTGTGCATAACGGGTTACGGTAGTCGGCTGCACTGGGTCTCTTTGGCCGGCACTTGGGTACCTCTACAAGGGAGGCAGTCGACGGGGCTGCCTACCGTTTGAAAGCAACACTGGACATGGAAGAGACACAAGTAGCGATACAAAATCCGTATATAACTGGGGAACCGTAACTCAAACGGTGGGAAGCACTCCGTGTCATCTATTCATGACACCTTACCCAACTGCCGAGGCTTGAACTGCACGAATGAATGAGCTGCCTGGGTCCCTCCAGAGATAGATACTCGGCCATGACATGAACATAGTTGGCTCTCCCTCGTCTCTGGCGCTGAGTACCTACCTAAATCAAAATGGAGATGGCTAACCTTCCCGCCCATCCAAGAGCCACCTCTCTGTGGGCAGCGGCTTATCGGGGCTCTTATCGCCCCATCAGCCTTGCAGCCAGGCCACTTGGTCTGGGGCTAACGTCACAGAAATAGCCCAGGACCTTTTTTTAACTGTCAAGCTGTCCTTTCGGGCAAGATCTAGGCCATAATACCGCCCACCACCACCTTGAACGAGGGTCGGCTTGAGGCCACATCAGCCTCTGCATGAACATTGCGACTTCAATTGATTCCATTTATACTGTCGCCTTCCCCTCCCCATCCAATTCCTCTTGATCTTCTTCTTTAACTTCCCCACACTCGAGGTGCGGATTCCAACACTTTCTAGCTGACGGCTTTCTTCCACACCCACCGCCATCTGGGACCCTAGTGTACCCCCACCACCCAACATGTTAATCAAGTCCTCGGGGACATCACCATTGGTGATGGTCCTTGGGGCCATTCTATTCTTCTCAGCACAGGTCTTTGCTGCCTCAGCCGCATTGGGTGTTGACCTGGGAACTGAGTACATCAAGGCTGCGCTTGTGAAGCCTGGAAAGCCATTCGACGTTGTCCTAACCAAAGATTCTCGAAGAAAAGAAACCTCCGCCGTTGCTTTCAAACCATCGCGCGGCGCACCTCATCCCGGCGAGTACCCCGAAAGACTCTATGGCTCCGACGCCATAGCGCTGGCAGCCCGATTTCCCGGAGACGTTTACCCCAACCTCAAGGCCCTCCTCGGCCTCCCCTTCGACGACGCCCTGGTACAAGAATATGCTGCTCGACACCCTTCCCTGAAGATCCAAGCCCACCCTTCGCGAGGAACTGCCCAGTTCAAGAGCGGCGCTGTGTCGGCAGAGGAGGATGCCTGGCTGGTCGAAGAGCTGCTCGCCATGGAGCTTCAAAGCATTCAGAAGAACGCCGAAGCCGCAGCTGACGATGGCACCTCGGTGCGCTCCATTGTCTTGACCATCCCCCCATTCTATACCGCAGAGGAAAGACGCGCAGTACAGACTGCTGCCGACCTTGCAGGCCTGAGAGTCCTCGGCACAATCAGTGATGGTCTGGCTGTTGGTCTCAACTATGCCACAACCCGCCAGTTCCCCAACATCAACAAGGGCGGCAGCCCCGAATACCACCTGGTCTTCGACATGGGTGCAGGCTCCACCAAGGCGACCGTCATGAGGTTCCAGAGCCGCGAGGTCAAGGACGTTGGCAAGCACAACAAGACTGTCCAGGAGGTTCAGGTTATTGGAACCGGTTCCGACCGCACTCTGGGCGGTGATGCCCTGAACAATCTCATCATCGATGACATGATTGAGAAGTTTGTCGAGTCCAAGGCTGCACAGAAAGCCTCTGTTACCGCCGAGGGCGTCAAGGCCCACGGACGGGCCATCGCCAAGCTGACCAAGGAGGCTGAGCGTGTTCGCCATGTTCTGAGCGCCAACCAAAACACCGCCGCCAGCTTCGAAGGCCTCTATGACGATGTGGATTTCAAGTACAAGATCGACCGCGCCGATTTCGAGGCTTTGGCTGAGGCCCATGCTGACCGAGTTGCGGCTGCCGTCAACAGCGCCTTGAAACAGGCCCAGCTGGAGATGGATGACCTTGACTCTGTTATTCTGCATGGCGGTGCTTCTCGTACCCCTTTTGTCCAGAAGGCTCTCGAGAAGGTTGTTGGCTCGGCCGACAAGCTCCGCTCCAATGTCAACGCTGACGAGGCCGCTGTGTTTGGTGCTGGTTTCCGCGCCGCCGGCCTTAGCCCAGGCTTCCGTGTCAAGGAAATTAGAATCTCCGATGGCCCAGGCTACGCAGCTGGTCTGAAGTGGAAGGCAAGCGAGGAGAGGACCCAGCGTCTCTGGACCCCCATCTCTACCATCGGTGGCCCCGCCAAGGAGCTTTCCTTCACCGAGGAGGCTGACTTCAGTGGTACCTTCTACCAGCAGGTTGACGCTGAGTACAAGGACTTGAAGCGTTTCACCACCAAGAACCTGACCTCTAGCATCGCGGCGCTCAAGGAAAAGTATCCCTCTTGCGTTGAGAGCGGCGTCAGCTTCCGGCTCGGGGCCAAGCTGAACGGCGAGAACGGCGAGATTGACATTGTCAAGGCTGCTGTCGAGTGCGAGGCCGAAGTCAAGGAGGGTTTCGTTGACGGTGTTAAGAACCTTTTCGGATTTGGCAAGAAGGACCAGGAGCAGCTGAACGGTGACGAGAACGCCTCAACTGAAACTGTCAACACATCTGAAGAGTCGGCCACCAAGTCAGCAACTGAATCGTCCGAATCTGCCGAGGCCTCGGGCTCCACTGAGGAGCTGAAGACGGAGGTTAAGAAGCTCGAGACTGTCTCCATCCCCGTGGAGATTGCCATTGAGATTCTCGGCACCCCGCAGTTGACTAAGGAGCAGACCAAGCAGTCCAAGGACCGATTGAAGGCCTTCGCAGCCTCTGACTTGGCCCGGTATCTCCGTGAGGAGGCTCTGAACCAGCTCGAGGGCTTCACATACAAGGTTAGGGACCTGCTCGAGGACGAGTCTTTCATTGCCGCCTCAACCGAGGCTGAGCGAACCAGTCTCTCCGAGAAGGCCAGTGCCGCCAGCGAGTGGCTTTACGATGAGGGCGCCGATGCCCCCAGAACTGAACTCAAGGCCAGGCTCAAGCAGCTGCAGGACATTGCAAACCCTGTTCAGAAACGTGTTACGGAGAGTGGAGCTCGCCCGGCTGCGATCTCCAAGCTGAGGAGTTCCTTGAAGGAGACCTTCAAGTTCGTCGACACCATGCGCAAGCAGGTTGACGAGTACGAGGAGTGGCACGCGGCTGCCTCTGCGTCGGCGTCTGCAGCTCCCTCGGCCACACCTTCGGGCGACTTTGATGGCCTCGAAGACGACGATGCCCCCAAGGACAAGAAGATGGAGGATGTCCTGGAGGAGCGTGGCCCCGTCCCGCCCCTCTACAAGCGCGAGGATCTCGACGAGCTCGCTGCCCTCTCCAAGACCACCCAGGAGTGGATCAACGAGAACGAGGCCAAGCAGGACAAGCTCGCTGCGACCGCCGACCCTGTCCTGCTCGTCAAGGATGTGACTGCCAAGATCGAGAAGCTGGAGAAGGCTGGCAAGGATCTAGCCATGAAGGGTGTTAAGAACTACAGCAAGGGCAGCAAGAAGGGCAGCAAGGAGAAGCCCAAGGAGAAGGGCAAGAAGAAGGGCGGAAAGGGCGGAAAGGGCGGAAAGGGCAAGCCGACCAAGCTGGGTGATCTGAAGGACAAGAACTTCGAGTCCCTCAGCGCGGAGGATCTCGAGGATCTGATTAAGAACATGAGCGAGGAGGACTGGGCCAAGGTCCGTAAGGAGGCCGAGGCACAGCAGAAGCAGGCCGAGGCGGAGCCCAGCGTAAAGCCTCATGATGAGCTATGATCGGGATGTGGTATTTCTTGGGTGTCTCACGTGTGGAAATAGAAAAAGACGGTACACCCGGCAGAAGCATTGAATGAAAGTTACATGATTTTTTTCCCTACTCTTGATACCTTGAGATGGTGTATGCTCGCTCAACCCTTGAAGATTCTCTGAATGGATTGTTTTGTACTGGTACCCAAGAAGCTCCAGCCCGAGTCGCCCTGAAGTCAAATAGGACAACCCTGTTCAAAATGGCCGTCACTGGGCGCAAAAAAAAAAAACCAATTCGCTGTATTGCGGTAACTCGCTCTTCGTTCTGGATATGCTGTTACATCATCTTTCTCGAGAGCGACTGGGCTGTTGCTGGGCAGGTTTCACGGTTACCACAAAGACGAGAACGAGCCTGGACGTGGTAACACAAGACGATACGAGTCACTGTCGAGTGACGCTGAACTGGCATGAAGTTGAAACCAGATAGTCTCACAAGCATCAGTCTCTTGAAAGAAAAGAGACTAAGCGCCGCAGAAACAAAATGAGAGGATGAGCCAACTCGTCACTAGTGGACGTATCTGCTGGGCCTCGCCGAATCAACTAGGTACTTGGTAGATCGACTTCTGCACCCAGCCGGCAGCAGTTGTATATCTGGGCCGAGTGCGGCGCTTCTTCGATTTTGGTCCCATTGCGAAAGAAACGCGGCGGTGACACGCCTCCAAGAGCTACATTGGAGTGCCCTAACCGCTAGGCTGTGGTTCTCACTTCTCTCCTCAACCACACACATCTGCATCCTGTTCCTTGATCCGTCACTTTCCTTTAGTTTTATCTTAGATCCTACCCCATCCTCGTCACTCCTTTAGAATTGAAAGAAGATATCCAAAGACTAACCACAGCATTGTTTACAACCTCCATCATGGTCATTCCTTGCATCCTCTTGGTTTTCTTCCGAGCCCTCTCTGTCGCTGCCGTGGCAGCAGCGGCAGCAATCCCAGACCAGCCGAACCTCGGCTCTGAAGGGACTTTCTCGCTGTCTGTTGCAGAGACATCTCACCAATCAAGAGGCTTTTTGAAGGACTGGGCAGCTGCTCGACAGAAATGGGGCAAAGGCATCCCGAAGGATGTGGCTACCGCCTTTTCCCTCCTTGACAACAGTGAGTGGCCATTCTTTTTCCTCTGAAACTCCGGAGAGAGTCCGTGCATTAAGAACTGCGGATATTAATAAACTGTATGGGAAAAGACGGCCGGGTAGATGTCCAACCGCTGGGCAGCGATGATGTTTTCATCGCTGATCTTGAAATCGGCAACCCGCCGCAAGTGGTCAAGATTGCCCTAGACACGGGCTCCTCAGACTTGTAAGTGATGAGAACTATTTAAGCCAACTTCTTGTATGTCTGACACTATTCCAGGTGGCTACAATCGAGCGATACGACATACTTTTACAATCGAAAGGGTCCCTGGGCTCCCCGGTACCACCCCAACATGTCCAGAACCTCTAACATCCTCAAAGATGCCCAATGGAATGTCAAATACAGTGAGCGGAACCTTCAATCCATGCACTTTTTACTCATCCCGAATCAGCAGACTAATCCATCATGTTTGCCTGTTTCCGCTCTCAGTGGACGGCACTGCAGCCAACGGTATAGTTTACCTTGATACGGTTCGCCTGGGCGGCTTCGAAGTCCGCAACGCAACGATCCAGTCCGCCCTGACGGTGGCCTCCCGCTTCGAGCGCGAGACGGGCCTCAGCGGCATCATGGGCCTCGCCAAGAGCCTCCCCAGCAGCATCGCGCCCCCGTCCAAGACCTTCCTGGACCTCCTCCGCCCGCAGCTCCAGTCCCCCGTCTTCACCGCCGACCTCCGGCTCAACGCGACGGGGCGGTTCGACTTTGGGCGCGTCAACGAGAGCGCAGTCCTCGGCAACGTGACCTGGCTCGACACCAGCCGGGCCAGCGACCACTGGGACGTCGGGCTCAACCTCATGTCGTGGGAGGGCAGCAACTGGTGGCTCCACGACTTCGCCGCCACCGTCGACACGGGCACCACGCTCACCTTCCTCCCGGACGTCCTGGCCAGGATGTACTGGAGCGACGTCCCCGGGATGCGCGTCGACCCGCTGCTCTCCGACGCCTTCACCTTCCCCTGCGACGGCGCCGACCGGCTGCCAGACCTCCGCTTCAAGCTGCCCGGGACCGAGCACGTCCTCAACATCCCGGGGCCGTACCTCAACTACGGCCCCATCGCCGGTGACGACACTTACTGCTGGGGGGGCATGCAGAGCGCCGACGACCTCGAGTCCACCATCATTGGCGGCACGGTGCTCAAGGCTCTGTTCGTCGCGTTCGATTTGGAGACGAAGAGGGTCGGGTTTGCCAACAAGCGGCTCTGAAAACCGACTACGGTTCAAGGGGGGGCTATTTGCTGAGGCATGGGTAATGTTCAGTGACTTTCTTCTCTTCATTCGGCAAGGGCCGTCTATTGAATGTTTGAAATTAGGGTATCTTTATTAAAAGTAACAAACGATGGATTGAACCCCCAGAACATCCCCATTGAGAACACGGGCAAGGCTTTGTATGGTGCGCGTACAGGGAGCTTTAGCAAATATTACCGGTAAACCGGTGTATACATTTCATGTTGAGAAATCGCCTACTCTTCATGCCCAACACACTGGCTGTTGTCCTGGACAGGCTGAAACCCCGTCAGAAACCGCCTGCTGAATTCTGTCCCCATATAAATAAAAACATCATACGCCCATTCAAAATGCTGTTTGCGGCACGTCGTTCGCCCAGACATGGTACGGTTGCCGCGTTGAAAAAAAAACCAATAATCCCCATTCCGACTAATGAGGCTCCAGGAGAAATCGTGATGCCATTGGAACGCCGAGTGTGTCATTAATTAGCGAGTGATAAAGTGAGTGGCCGTTAAATTGCGCAGGTGTCTTGCAGTTCTGACCGCCTGCGTCTAACCGGCCCGTTGGTGCTGGCCGGCTTATGATTGAGTATTGAGCTAATGTCGAGGCTCTAGAAGAAAACGCCATGCTGTGGGGCCATGAAACCATAGCATCATACGTCTATCGAATATGTATAAGTTCGTGTATTAACATGATTATTCTTCGCGGTCGCCATCTTTAAGCGGGAAAGGCAAATAGAGCCATGTCAGCGCCGGGTGTCGTCCAAATCTTCCTGGGTGACAAGATAATATTCACCTTCACTGGCCCCCGGGGTTGGTGGCATATTGCCTGAGCCAGGAGCTGGCTGAGCTGCGCGGGCAGTGCCTGGCCGGGAGCGGTTCTTTGAGCCGTCTACCGCTGGCGAATGCTGTTCGGTCTCATTCTTGCTGGCCATCTCTGGAAACTTGGACGACATGCCCCCTGGGGGGTGGGAGATTGACTGGCGGACGTGGTGCTGAGATCGACGCAGGCGGGTTTCCATTTCCTTGAGGCGGGCTTCAAGAGACGCTAGCTCATTGTTGCTCTGTCCAACCTTCTGCTTCCTATTCGAGGGAACAAGTTTCAGCATTAGTCCTGTGAAAACGAGAAGCACAGTCGGAGTGTTGGTGGTGTGGGAGTTGCAGCATTGCTATGGATCTATCCATAGCTTCGGAGAGCGGAGGAACCGACCTTTGGTCAACCTCCTTATCGAGGTCAGAGATGGAGTTCTCAATGCGGAAAATATCCATGAGCTCGGCAGAGAAGGAGCGAGCAATCGTCCTAGAGCACAAGACGAAGACACATTCATGTTAGCCAAGTCACAATCACAGCAGGGTTGAGAGGGGCATTCGGCTGCAAGGTAGTCCAAGCCAGGGGCTGCTTACGACTGCGGGCGACGGCCGTTGGGCTTCCAGTCGCGGTCGAGCTCGGCGTCGGACATGGTGCAAAGTAAAATTAGAGTATAATGGAAGGATAGTAAAAAAGAGGCGCCTGGGGACGGAAAGCAATGGGGATATCGACTGAAGACAAGCTGCGCAAGATGTGAGCGGTATTGCAATGTTGGGAAGACAGAGGGGGGAGGTCAGAGGGCGTTGAGCCGGACGTTGGCTGAATTAATGAATGAATACCGTACCGTTCCAAAATGCGGGAGGACAGGGACTCGATTGGCTAACTGGGACTAAGAAGAAGCGCGGGAACAGGGGACATGACCTCCCTTTAGCGGAGCTGGACCAAGGCACTTGGGACAAGACTCACCAGGACATAAGAAGGGATGGAGGGGGGGTGGGCGGCTTATGGTGGGTGCCCGAGGCCAGAGCCAAAGGGGGGAGCGTCTGGTGTTAGCGAAACATGAAGTTTCAATTATTATTAGAGCATCACATCATATCACAGCTCAGCAGGAGCCGGGCAGGAGCTATGCGGCAGTTTGCAGGAGCATTGGGAGGACAGGAAACGGATTAGCTAAGAGGTATCAGTACGGTGAGGGAGGGGCGCTCCCCAAGACGATACAGGTACAGGTACAGAGAGGCGATCGTCTCCGCATGTTCCTGGTCCCTTCACCTCCCCTCTCCTTCGCTGCACCTGCTGTGCTGAATCCTATCGCCTTAGTATGCATTGGGCACCATCCGCCGCGTTTGAGCATGATGCATCAGATATGGAGCAGTCATGCAGCTGCTCCTCACCAGACGTGCGTCCACCTCACAAAACGCCAGTTAAGATTACGGCGGTGAAACACTGGATTGGAGCGTGCCTCGTTGCTCAATCAAGCAGCGAGCGACACAGCATCACACCGCACCCTGATTCTACACCTCAGGCTCCTCAGCCAACCAGCGGCGTCGAGAAATTGCATTTGGCCTGTGGGGGCCAGCAACGAGCGTCATTCCGGCAGCCCACCACGCGGTCCACGCCCAGGCACATGAATCTAGGGACCACCCGCCAGTGTCATGGGGCCAAGACATTCTACTGGTCAACGGCGGGTATCTTGTGGCGTCGATGGTTCTGTTGTAAGACGGCGCTGCCGTGGAATGCAATCTGCACTTCCGCTTGCTGCTTCGTGAATCACTGGATGCCAGCATCAGCAGAACGGCATGCGATCATTCTCCTGGCACCAGCAGTCCTTTGATTGCATCTTATTAGCCTCAATGTCTGGTGGAATGCGGCAGCCCCATCCGAGCCTTGTCGCTGCCACAGTTGCCAATGGTGGCCTAGACAAATGAGCAGCCCAAGAACCACTGGGGGGGGTCTCATTTGACTACGGGCTCGGCGCCGCCTATCATCACCTGAGTGGGCTCAATCGAAATTATCTGCCTTTTCCCGAGATGATTCTCCAGGGCGCCGGTCTCTTGACGGGAGCGATAAGTGAATCTTCAACCGTTCAATCTGCCGTTTAGTTTGACCCAGCTGATCTTCATTTTCGTGCTAGCTGCATTATCGTGCGCCCATCCGACTATTGTCACAAGAGCGCTCCAAGGTTGTGACTCCCAATGCAACATGCGTCTCCTCATTCGACAAGGTTTTGCTGTCGACTATACCCATCTTTCCCTTCACGCCAGTTTGCAATTTTGACAGGAGGGGCGGAAAAGAGCACACGACATGCACTAACTTCACGTCCCCAGACTGGCAGTCGTCAGCATGGGTCAAAGCTCCTTCTATTTCATTATTCATGCTCATTTACAACATTTCCAGCCAGAAACCATACATGCCCACACCACAAAACCCCTTATTAAGTGTGCACAGATGGCCATGTAATCTTCCCGCAGTTTGAATTCTCCTGAACCCAGCGGTTGATCTTGGGCACGTCCCAACCGCTGAGCCATTCATCATCCTTGGTTTCGGGCTTCCTTGGTCTACCGTGTTTTATGCTTTTATTCATAGCACAGATACCCTGATTTAATCTGAATTGAAAGCATCCAGGGTCATTATGACATGCCTTTTTGCATTGATTAAATCCCAAGTGGGCTTCACGTTCAATCGACGACAGGTCCCCCTTTTTGGTCCTTTGAAGCTGCCAGTCGGAGTACTCTCGGGTCTTCTCATCCAAGTAAAAAACGTCTTCACTAAGGTTGTCCCAGCTCTCTCGTTTATCTTCAAGGAGGTGTTCGATAAATCGATGGTATACATCCCTGAATCGCAGTGGCGACGTGAAGCTGCGCTCTAATTCAAATTCGTGAAGACCTGTGACCTCCTCGCTACTAACATGGTGCATGGTCACGATGGGTTGACACCATTGAGCTTTTCCGTATGACATCGTGCTAGGCTTCTCTCCGTTCACAACTGGCCACTTTACCAAATGTCAGCATATTGATTTCAACAAAGACTTGGTGGCACGGGAAGAAGAGGGTGCTTAGTGGGCCGGTTTTGGATGTGGAAGAACTCACGACATTGGTCGCTCTCACTCCTACTTCGTGTCGGAGGGCATACGATAATAAGTAGTCGCCACAGCAAGTACCCCGAGCCTCAAAGTCCCATTCCTTTGCTACATCCGTTTTCCCATCGAAGAAATTTTTCATTGTCGCCTGGGATACCAAATATCCGCTGCCTCCATGAGCAAAGGGGAAATCGCCAAGGAAGGCGACGCTGCCAATGTACCATTGTTCCTTTGGGTTAACATGCTGGAGCCATTCCACAATTGTAGGCCAGACAACGTAAGTATCGGCATCGACATAGAGATACCAGTCGTAGTTTGGCTTCTGCCTCCAGGTTTTCTCGGCAATATGGATGTTCTTGTACTTGTCCAAATTCCATCCCTGAGAAGCGGTGTTGTCGTTGGTATTCCTGTTACACGTCTCCTGATCTGAAGCACAGTTTTTCTGGCGGAAATATAGATCAAAGTCGGGATTATTCGCTTTTACTTCCTCCCTCACTTCGTCAAGACTATCCTGAACATGGTAGCCAGCTACCGTCTGTTCCATGTCTCCAAATATGAGGAAGTCGGAAATGCATCGCAGATTCATCAATAGCTGCGTGGGGATTCTAGCGAACGACTCCGAGGCACCGGTTTTCATTATCAGGAGAATATTTGAAGTATCGGGGAATCCCTCACAGGGGCCCTTGGTGGGCATTGCGGTGGGAACGGGGGACATCCCAGAGATTTGCTGGGGAGCTGGCGCCGAGGATGGAGACTGCGATATAGCATGGCGCAGATCATCTGAAGTCGGGGAGGTATCCGAAATATGCACCTGTTTAATAGCGGTTTTGTACTCGAATACGCCAGGACAAAACCCACGGTCAGGACATGTGCTTGCTAATCTCCACAAGCCGAGCAGAATAAACACGGCGATCGAGATGGCGATGAGGACAACAAAACGCCGGCTGCGAGAGATGAGTTGGCCCGGGATCAACTGCGGCCTGGGGGTGAAGTAACCCATGCTATGCCACGATGATGTAAAACAAATTGACTCGGTTTTTCATGAATCAATAGCAAGTCTTGGCGAGAAGATCGAAAGAATACCAATCAAGGATGAAGAGCAATTGGCCAATACATGATGGTTACCATGACTGACGCAGTTGAGAGGGGAACGACAGCACGACATATCCTCTAGAAATACATTTTGGAATTAGGAGGTACAACGTGGAACAGATACCCATGGATGATAAACGTGACTGATTGACTACAAATCGGCTATTGGAATCGCCTCCCAGCATGCTGGTTGCTAGAAGACGTTGTTGGCTTTGGATGAGACCGAATTTGCGCATTCATTGTCAGATTCAGTAGCATCTTCCGCTTCCCGGCCATGGATTATTTCTAGTTACAGTTACAGAACATATCTATGTGCAGCTGGCGTTCCAATGAGGAGTCTACAAGACAGAGTGCAAAGGCTCTACGCTACACTCTGACAAGGCCCTCGAGTCAGCATCAAGCACACTTCCTTTGTGAGCGATAGAGTGCTACGTGCAACATAGGCAACACTATTATGGACACGGCTAGTAGGCATGGATGGCGGTAGCTGTTGTCATTATAACGACTTGTATCACGCAATGCTGTCAGTGAGATTAGATGGAAAGTCATATGCCACGTCTCTGTTCAAACATTATGCTCGCGGGGTTTATCAGACCGCGTACCACCTAGGACAAAATAATTGATTGATAATTGGCGGAGCTTCGAGGATTATATATATATTATTATTATTATCCATTGCTCACGATTATCAAGCGAGCAAATGTTGGCCTTGTTGGTTCACGCTTGGATCTTGTGACGATGATTCTTCAGCAGCTTCTAAGCCAGACAGTGCCTGGTAGAAGCAACCGTCTCCCTGAGGTTGGCGTCATTGACTAAAGTGTTTCTTGATTCCGTGAATCACCCAATCGATGGCAATCAAAAATGACCGAATCACTCTAGACGAGCGTACGATTGAGAATTCTTTCCCGTCTTAGTGAATCTGATAAGGGAAGGGCGTCAGGAGTCATCGAATACATGATGTAAAACAAGTATTAAAAAAAGCCAGTGTTTAAAGGTGGAACAGTATCACATAATCCGATAACGAGCAGAGCAGAACACAAGACAAGACAAGACAATCAACATAAGGATAGCAGAGTCAGATGGCCAAGGATTGGGATTGCATGTACAGAGATGGCACTTGCCAACACACAATCAATCACAGAGAAAAGATGAGACGCGAAAGAAACCACCCTTCCCTAGGTAAGTAGGTAGTATCTTGGGAAACTGCAAGTTTGTCGTCTCCGGAAGTGCTGTGCGGCCTAAACCTAGGTACGCTCTTGTGTAACCCAAGGCAGTCATTGCTTTTATCATCTCTATTTGCTACCAGATCAAGGCTCCAGACTCCACTTTGAGTCGTGATCTTGGTGATTTTATATTCTCTCTTGGGAACAATCGCATATCTTCATCACCGGCTTTGATCCCTTGGATTTGAGTGCAATAAAATGATGTGAAGCGTCCAAAGCAAGATAGGATACGGATCCATTTACTCATGCCCATCCCACCTTTTTCGGGGGCTTGTAAGCTTACCTACCCCCTTGAGGAAATAAACTAGCGGTCTGGAGGCGGTACCTTCACAGCAATTTTAACCTCTCTGGAAGGCTGGTCAGACAAACCAATGCCCAATAGAAAAATCAGGACCCTTCACAGCAGTTTTCTGCCACTCAGAGGGGTGGTCAGGCATAGATGAAGGAAACATAGTTCGGCCCACTTTCGCTGTAATTTTGAGCTCTGTAGAAGGACGTTGAGCATAAACTACATACCCTCGAGCAGTACGAGCAGCAATTGCTCAAGGAATTGGACGCTCAGTCACTCATGCAGGCACCTTTCCTCCTCCTTTATCAAGGACATGTTCGGAAACATCTGTAATCACTTGCAGGACTAGTATCACGTTTCTTACTGGAACATGGTTAAGTGCTAAATTGCATGGTGGATCTGAGGTTGACTAACTTCTCAATTAAACCGTAAAATGAACGTTGAGAAGGAAACTCACCTGCCCACAAACACAACATTGCCTGATGATAATAACACAAGAAAGCAACAGGAGCTAAAATAAAACAGTTTAAATATATTCAAATGAGCTGGATCTTTTTTAAAGCAGGCTGAGAATGCACGTGACTCGAGATATGAAAACCTGGGTGGCTCTTCTCTAGGGTAGGCTTATAATACTGGGTACGGTACTTGGAGGAAGACATTTGCAGTGTAACTCTCACATATCTGCATGGACTGGCGGCATCTAGATGTATACGTGGGTTTGTTTCATGCTGCATTGACACCAGCACGGCAGACAGAGCATTGACTTCTAGGCAGCGAGGGCCAACGCTGTAGGGCGTCTCCCGGGGCCAAGTTGCCTGAACGCGTCGTTGGTTGCCTACTATAATGGACCTGACGCGAGGTCCCAGGCGGGCTCGTCAAGTGGCAGCCCACGCAGCGGCATCCAACGCTGGCAGTGATGCTCTGCAGCCGCCCGAGGACGCAGCTGCCACTGGCCCAGATGCCAGCCAACCGGCGCGTGGCCAGATACATGTCACCCCGAACGCTCTGCACCGCACGCCTGAAGCCATCGGGGCTCTGGGCGCCGGTGATGGACTCGGCATCGGCGCAGGCCACAGCAATCCACTGTCGAGTGGTCCTTCATTACCGCCCGTCCATCCCTTCCGCCTACACAGAGGTAAGTGTTCATCATTTCATTGCCTTCTCCGCCTTCATCCTCCTCTCCCATCGGTTGGTTTCCTGGTCCCGTGTAACTTGCCTTTCATTGTTCTCGACCATGCTGTCCGCTGGCCCCCCTCCACTCCACTTCATCTGCACGCTGCCGTTGTTTGTGTGATATCTGCGGCTTGCTCTGGTTTCCCCTTCATCCGGTCATCACACATCCACTCACATTACCTTCACTCTTTTCCCTTGGGGAGAATCATCTGCCACATGGATGCTGGGGAGCCTGCTTGAGCCTGCTTCTCTTCTTCCCATCCGCGCCTCATTCACCAAGCCTGTCGATGATCATGCCCGATTCTCCCGCTGCCGCATAGGTTCCGCAATCAGCAACGTCTCGTACACCAGTGACCGAGTTTGGATATGCTGTCTGCTGGGTTTCCGCAATGCCACACCATCCCATGGCTCTCAGCTGCCCCCCGACTCCTCGAGCGCCCTTGCGAGAGCTCCCAATGTCTCCAGGCGGTGCCTTGATAGGTTGCCGCACCCCAACCCATCGCCCGCTTCCTTCGGCAGACAAGGAGAACCAACAGGCTCTGCGGGAGGCACTTGAGAGCCAGCAGCAGTACTACCTATTCCAGCTCCAGGAGCTGGCTCGTGGCATCGAGCAGTTGCAGCGGCAATACAGGCACACGCACCGGATTCTCCGATCATCGATTCGCATTTCACAGTCCCAGATCCCTGCTAACGACTCCCCAGCCATGCCTCAGTCTAGATTGAGCATGCCAGAGCTCTCCGACGACTCGGGCTCCGAGCCAGACCTTAGTGTTCTTGCCATGACCCGGCCAGGCCCCCCTGGACTGGAACGGCTTCATTTGCCGCCATATGATATCTCTCATGATCACTTGCAGGAGGATGACACAAGCCTAGTGGAGGGAGATATTGACGACATGGAGGGTGGGGACCACACAGAAGACTTGGAAGGGGCTGAGGGGGGAGAAGAAGACGTAGAGGACGAGGAAGGAGACGAGGAAGAGGAAGAGGACGAGGATTACGTTCCTTTGGTTGACCCTGCCACGCTTGGCCTCAAGGAGATCTCCAACCTTGGCAAATTCACCGTTAGCAGTCACAAGCAAGGGAACGGGGTCGACGAGCTGCGCAGCGATGATCTGGGTCAATATTGGCAGTAAGTGTTTCCAGAAGGTTGCCCGAATGCTACGTCGAATACTCACAAACGTGTTGTTTAGGTCTGATGGGCCGCAGCCTCATAAGCTTACAGTCTATTTCGTGAAGAGGGTGGGGATCCGCGATCTTCGCTTCTACGTGAACTACAACGAGGACGAGTCGTATACTCCTACTAAGATTATCTTCAAGTCCGGGACCAGCGAAAACAACCTGATAGAGTTTGCGCAGATGACGCTGGAGACCCCGGTGGGCTGGCAGCAGGTTTCACTCAACGGAGCCGGCGGCGACCCGGATGGCAATACCCTGGTGTCATATGTGCTCCAGATGCAGATTCTCGAGAACCACCAGAACGGCAAGGATACGCACCTGAGAGGCATCAAGATATACGCCTTTGATATGGATTCGGGGCAGGCGCAGGGGCGAGAGAACAACCCCATAGCCGACATGGTGGAGTTTCTGGACGTTGGCGGCCCTGCGGCCGCTTCGGTTACGCCCTCTGCCGGGCAGGATGACACAAGTCAACGGCTGAGCGGCCTCGCGAGAAGGTTGGCTGATACGAGGATAGAGAGCGGCGAGGCGGGACTGTCCATTCCTGACTTCATGCGGGACCCTGAAATTAGATAACTTCATATTTTTCCTTATTCGGTATCCAGCGCATGGCTGACTGGACTGGTTGAGAAGGCAACGAGCCCCAGAGGCAAACAGTCTTGGGGGTGGCGATCTTGACCGAGAGGTGGCAGGGTAGAGCGCACCGGGCATCTAGGGCGAGGCTGAGCAAGATGGCCCTTGTAGGAATAGCAAAAATCCCAATAATGGGAGTCTCATTCTGGGAGACGGAAGGACGCTGGCGGGCGATGAGGTACGAGCTACGAGCAACGAGATAGACGATGTCGTGGGACCAATACTACATAGATCTGAACGAAACCCACCGATGTGGTGTTGTTGTATGCAACACGTGGGGATGTCTACCAGCCCTGAATTGATGTCCTTTCCCGTCGCTTAGTTCTACATCTCATTTCCTGCTCTATGCTCTCCGGAAAACCTGCCGGACCCCTCCTCAGACTCCCGTCCAAAACATTGGCCAAGAAAGTTTCGCGGGGTGCCAATTCCCGCATCACACCAATCATGCTTGCCTATGTAACCCTTTGGCTGGGCATAGTGGTATGACAATCGACCGGCCGGACGCATGGTGGTGTAGCACAGCCCCCCCTTTCCTCACCGCGACTAGCTCCCCATCATGACGTGAAGAACGGAGGTGTGATCTTCGCGATGCCGCCTGGAGAGCTTCTAGAAGGCCTGTTCTGTGGACCCTCGCCCGGCCTTTCTGCTGACATGAGATCACACGCATCACATCATGTTAGGCATGGCCAGGAATGGAGCCTGTCAGAAAGGCGAACCATGTTTCGCAGGCGACAAACCGGGCGATAATATCGATTTCGTTCGGCCTCTCGCGCTCTCTGCTGATCGCCGGCTCGGCCCCAGTCTCCCCGGGGCCGAAGGTTTTTGCATGCATGCAAGCTTGCACCTACCTTAGGCCTTATTAACACGCTGTACGCATCTCAGTACGCCAAGCCGGAGTAGAGGGACGGGGGGGCTGTGCAAGTCACGTTGTTCGAACTAGTCGTGGTGCTGGCCGGGGATTAATCTGTTATTTGCACTTTGGGTCGAGTTAGGTTGTTGCACAGCCTTCTGCTATCTCTGGGCAGCACGGATCTTTGGTGTGGGGGGTGTTGCTCTGAAATTGAATTTTTTGTTACTCTTTTTTCCCTTGTGAGATGAGGCGGGTCGTGGGCGAAGTAGATGCAATTGAAGTCATGTTAATGTAGAAAGGAACTTCAGTTGCGCTATGGACGAGGCGAAACGATGCCAATTAGCTCTGGTGGGCGATTGCCATTGAATGCAGGCGGTGGTATGTACATGGCAGCAGCTCGATGCCGAGATGCCAGTGTGTGAATGGGGAGTTACATTGGATGCAGACTGTGCATATGTGCGGAGGGGTGCATGTGATGACACATTGAAGCTTGGCCAAGGTGCGTGTGTGTGACGAGTCCGATCTTCGCCTATGGACGAGGAGAATGGAGGCGACGCTGGCCAAAGCGAAATATGCCCAGGGCTTGGCAAGCACGGCACAGCTGTTCCCTGAGGTGCCTATTGATCCGCCCCATCCGCCAATCGCATGACGCCCCGGAAATTCGAAAACTGGAACCACGATTGAAATCCCCTTCGCGTTGATCGTATCAAATTGAACTCGTGGGCAGCATCACTGAACGGGCACTGAGCTCTGCCTGGCGCAGTGATTAGGTAGGGGCCCATAGCACCATGGAGCCCCTAGCAGCAGCTGTAGCCTGGGGGGTGCGGGGCTGATGTGCCTTGTGCGAATCATTACCACATCCACCGTGCTTGTACCCTCCACACTGGACAGGCCGGAGGGTACATTTCCACCCGCTAACAAGCAGGTGGAGTCTCACGATGCCCCACTCCTGCTACCCATGCCCAAGCCCAAGCTCTCACAATGCGGCGACGTCAGCTCACTCGCCCTTCACAACCAGAGCAGAGCACGGGTTTGCTTTAATTTCTCTTGGCTCCGAATCTCCAGTCTACTTAAGTGTCCGGCCGCCCTTCTCCTCGTCCGATCCAGTCTCCCACACCCCCAGGTCGATAGATGACATCTTCGCCCATTGATTCTGATAACACTCGCCGTCCCCGACATCCAAGGTCTCAGTCCTATCACCAGATCCCACCTCACCAACCATCACACCACTTTGACAGCTCCGCCAATATGTCTACAACTGTCAATGGAGCCGGCGCCGGCGCATCCTCCAAGGCTCCCGAGTCTGAGGTCGGCTTCCAGCCCCAGAACAGGATGGCCGTCGTACCCCCAAAGCAGGAGGACCTTCAGCGAAGCTACGCTACCGTCGTGAGCACTGATGCCAACCCCAAGGGCTGGTATGGCACCATGAGTAAGTTCGCCACCAATGCGGCCTCGCCTCCATCTATCTCGTCTTCCAATATGTCTAACGTACCCTAGTCAATGCTCTTGGATCCTGCATGGGAACCATGGGAGCCGTCCCCTGCTGCATCTGCTGCCCCAACCCCTTCAAGAGAGTCCAGCAAGGTAATGTTGGGCTTGTCACCAAGTTCGGCAAGTTCTACCGGGCCGTCGATCCCGGTCTGGTCCAGATCAACCCTCTCAGTGAGGATCTCATCCAGGTCGACGTCAAGATTCAGATCGCCGAGGTTCCCCAGCAAATCTGCATGACCAAGGACAATGTCACCCTTCACCTCACCTCCGTTATCTACTACCACATCATCTCTCCCCACATCGCCGCCTTCGGCATCACCAACGTCCGCCAGGCTCTCGTTGAGCGTACCCAGACCACTCTGCGCCACGTTATTGGTGCTCGCATCCTCCAGGACGTCATCGAGCGCCGAGAGGAGGTTGCCCAGTCGATTGGGGAGATCATTGAGGAGGTTGCCGCTGGATGGGGTGTTCAGGTCGAGAGCATGCTCATCAAGGATATTATTTTCAGTCAGGAACTCCAGGAATCCTTGTCAATGGCTGCCCAGAGCAAGCGTATTGGTGAGAGTAAGGTCATTGCCGCCAAGGCAGAGGTAAGTGTCAAACAGGAAATGCGCCAAGAGAGAGCTGAAATCGCTAACATATTCCACAGGTCGAATCCGCCAAGCTGATGCGCCAGGCCGCCGATATCCTCAGCTCCGCCCCTGCCATGCAAATCAGATACCTCGAGGCTATGCAAGCCATGGCCAAGTCCGCCAACAGCAAGGTCATCTTCCTCCCTGCTGCCAACCAGACCATGGCCATGAGCAAGGCTGTCAGCCAGGCTTACGCTCAAGAGACTGGTGAGGGAAGTGGCACGCACGCCA